CGCCCCACGCCTGGCTAATATTTTTGTACTTTTAGTTGAGACGGGGGTGGGGGGGGTGCGGCGGTCTCACCATGCTGGCCAGGCTGGTCTCAAACTCCTGACCTCAAGTGATCTGCCTACCTTGGTCTCCCAAAGTGCCTGGATTACAGGTGTGAGCCACTGCGCCCAGCCTGAGGTTATTTTGAAAGTATCGTCTTGCCTGTGTGACTCTTTCAAAGGGGCTCTAATCACCAGTGCATGGTGAGGTCCCCTAGCCCTGCTGCCTGAATTAGCTGCAACTGTGAGGCTGAGAAGGCGTGGGTGAGGCTAAGCATATCCAATGGCCAGGCAGAATACATAGGCAGCACGGGAAGATAGGACTCGGGGTTAAACCTGGTGATGAGAGAAAGAAAGACAAGCAGTTTGCAGCACTGTTCTTGGTTCTTTAATGGGAGGGAGTGGGCAGGTGCCATTCTGCTGCCATGGGATAATTAGGAGTCTATATCTCTTTGTTTTCTCTAAATTCTACGCTAAAGGGGAGCCCTAAATTGTGTTAGTAGGGAATGGGGGTCACAGTGGCCATAGGGAGCTTCCAGTCTCTAGTGACTACCTTTTTAGAATCCCAGGTGCACTTTTCGTTAATGCAGGACCAGCATTTGAAAACAGTGAATAGGTGAATAAAGAATACTGTGAGGAGGGAGGTAATGATGTCTTGTTGGGCTTCTCAAAGACGTTTCCAAGACCTTTCAGTGGTACAATAACAACTTCATTAAAAAGAGAAAATGGATTTGCTCATAAGGAAACACTAAATGAGGCCAGGCTCAGTGGCTCACACCTGTAATCCCAGCACTTTGGGAGGCTGAGGCTGGAGGATCACAAGGTCAGGAGTTTGAGACCAGCCTGGCCAACATAGTGAGACCCTGTCTCTACTAAAAATACAAAAATTATCTGGGTGTGCTGGTGGGCACCTGTGTTCCTGGCTAATTGGGAGACTGAGGCAGAAGAATCGCTTGAACCTGGAAGGCAGAGGTTGCAGTGAACCAAGACCGTCCCACTGCACTCTAGCCTGGCCTGCAGAGAGAAACTCTGTCCTGCCCCCACCCCCGCCACCCCCGAAAAGAAAAAAGAAAAGAAAAGGAAAAAAAAAAAAAAACCACTGGATGAAATAGATACAACTTCTATGCAGTTTGTCTTAGTCTCTTTAGGCTGCTATAACAAAATTACCATAAACTAGGTAGCTTACAAACAAAGAAACTTATTTCTCATGATTCTGGAGGCTGGAAAGTCCAAGATCAAGTCACTGGCAGAGTTGATCCCTGGAGGACCTGCCTCCTGGTTCTGCCTTGAGAGAAGGCGGTCTCCCTTGGTTGTCTTTTATGAGAGTAACTGATCCCGTTCACGAGGGCTCCTCGCTCTTGATCTTGTCACCTTCTAAAGACCCTACCTCCTAACACCGTCAAGTTGGAGATTAAGTTTCAACATATGAATTTGGAGGGGCCACAAACATTCAGACAGTCGTCCAGTTTGTAATCGGATTTCTCTTTCCTTGCATCCTCCCATGTTCAGAAGAGTGGGACTAGCTTTCTGCTGGGCATTTTGCTTTTCATTGCTGTACCGAGATATTCTAGTGGTTTGGGGTGTGTGGGAAGACAGGCCCCAGTGGGTGCAGAGGGAAGGACTGGCTCTCCGGATGTGCACATCAGGGGTGGGAGGCAGGATCTGGCTCTGTTACCCAGGCTGGAATGCAGCGGAGCAATCTCAGCTCAGTGCAACCTCCACCTCCCGGGCTCAAGCCATCTGTCCACCTCAGTCTCCCAAGTAGCTGGGACTACAGACACACGTCGTTACACCAAGCTAATTTTTGTGTTTTTGGTAGAGATGGAGTTTCACCATGTTGCCCAGGTTCGTCTCAAACTCCTGGGCTCAAGCAATCCACCCACCTCGGCTTCCCAAAGTGCTAGAATTATAGGCGTGAGTCACCATGCCCTGCCCGGATGGCCACATTTTTAAATGAAGGTATATGAACTACTATTTTATAGAAAAGTCCAAGTTTTTTTCTGCTTCTCACTCTCCAGAACTTCCTAACTTTCTGGCTGATGGTTTGTGAGGCTGGGTATCAATGAGGTGGTCATGGTTCAGTGTGTTCTGACCAGATCAAGCTGAGAAGTGTAACAATTTTGGTAATAAAGGTGCCAAACAATTTTTCACAACAGTAGAATCCTGGTTGAGTCAACAGGCAGATGATTATTAAGAAATCTTTCTCCATAGTCCCTTGCTGTTTCTACCAGGTTAACTTGTTTGAGAAAGAAGGCCCAAGGGCCAGTACACTGTATGTATGAGCATTTTTCATTGCAGAAAAAGCACCGATTGTAAATCTACTTAGATTTATGCAGAGGCCTGACACAGACAGGAGGATGGTACACCCCTGTGACTAACGCAGCTCCTACCTTCGCCTTGCCACTCAGTCCTGTTGGGAGGATTGAGGGAGATGGCACAGACACAGACGCTGAGGACTGAGCCAAAGCCGAGTCCTCAGACAACAATAAAAACCATTCCTGGAATGGAGTGTCTTGTGTGCAAAGGCCTGGAAGTATTGATGATTACAGGGATTTGAGGATACTGCGAGGAGTTGTTTGTGACTAAAGCATACAGAACTAGTAGGAGCATGGTGGGAGAGGAAGCTCTTAGGAGGTCTTTCCTGAGGGACCTTAAATGCCATGAGGAGTCGTCTCAGGTTTTCACCTTGCAGTCAGTAGGATGCTATTCAAGAATTTGAGGTGGGCCCAGTGGCTCACGCCTGCAACCCCAACATTTTGGGACACTGAGGCCGGCAGATCATCTGAGCTCAGGACTTTGAGACCAGCCTGGGCAACACAGTGAAACCCCATCTCTACTAAAATACAAAAAAATTATCCAAGCATGGCGGTGTGCACCTGTAATCCCAGCTGCTCGGGAGGCTGAGACGGGAGAATCGCTTGAACCCAGGAGGCGGAGGTTGTAGTGAGCCAAGATCATGCCATTGCACTCCAGTCTGGGCAACAGAGCGATTCTCTTCTCAAAAAAAAAAAAAAAAAAAAAAAGAATTTGATACAGGAAATATATGTTTACAATCTGGCTAGATGTTAAGATACCGAAAAATAAAAACTGAAAACCCCAGCGTCATCCAAGAAGTGTCTGAAGACAATGCATGATTCCATGTTAAATGTCTGGGCACTGTTGAGTGACAGTCATAGAGAAGGTAAATTGTTGTGAGCTGAAGCTATCAGGGACGTCTTCCTGAAGGACGAAACACTAACATGGCACCTTGAAAAGCAGATGGAAGAAAGGGAGACGTCTCACTCACGCTGTAGTAGGAGATTTCTGTTACTCACAGATAAAGGCTAACGGAAAAACGTGGACCGTGCTTGTTTTCCTGGCCACACTGCAGTAGATGTTGCCACCTCTTCCCACGAGAGGAGACGTGAGTGGACGTGGTCTAAGGGAGGGTCGCAGTGTTTCCAGAGAAAGGCCCTCAGGATAGGATGATGGACGGAGAATCCACATCAAGCAACGTTGGCTCATCCCAGGGTGGAGACAAGTGTTAGATGCTCCAGAGTTTCAGAGCATTGACTTACTAAATCCGTTCTACCCCTTGAAGGGGTGTCTAGAACCTACGCAGTGAAGCATTGAGCTACATCTTGGCCAGATCTTGGTCTCTCATGCGGGCACCTATTTGACTGCCATATTGGCTTATCTATTCTAAAAGACGTTTCCTCAGAGGGAGTGAAAATGTGTGTATTTTTCTGGGGCTTTGTGGATTCACAGCTGCTCCTTGATGTCATTTGGCCTGATAAATGCTGCAGATGCTTCTAAGGAATCAGAACCCTTGGCCATCAGCATGAATTGTATTCCTGGGGATGAATTTGCTCTAGAACAAGTATTTAGCTTTGCTGGAAGTTATTTCTGCCCTTTCTAGGCCTAACCATATGAGGGGATGTGAATTTTTCCTTTTGAATGAGAGGAAAAGCAGTAACAAAAGGAACCCAATCCAAGCCCAGAACAAATCAGCTCCAAGCAAAAGGAATTTTGCCAATTCATGGAACTCTGCCAACATTTCCAACAGTGGTGGGAAGTCAATTGATTAACTCAGCTGGTAAATATTCTACAGTGGAATAGATGCTGTCCTGAGGATACAGAGGTGAACAGGAGCAGCATGGTATCTGCCCTCCCGAAATGTACAGGTGGTGAAGGAAAGGCAAGTCAGCAGTTTAGCAATCAACAGATGTTTTTGCCTATGTGTGCTATTATCCTAAAGAGCCCCGGTCTGAGCTTTGGATGAGATTCAGCTGCTGCAGCGTGCTAGCTGGGTGATTGAATTCTTCTGAGATAAATTTTTAAACGATAAAATCTGGCCAAAGCACAGGAAAAGCAGAGCCCCGTAATTTCATATAACTGAGCAGCACAGGCTAGATTTAAAGTGTCTTGGAAGAAAGGGTCCCTGCCTTTGAAGAACTTTGATTATACTCTTCAAGCTAAAGCTGTGCGTCTTACACTGCCTTGATGAGCAAAGAACTTTCCTTTCCACCTGTTCAGATTTGACAGCGCCACGCCGCATGATTTAGTCTGGACTTAGCAAACACCCACCAATGACCGAGCTGCCGTAACCATGGAGTGCTCGTCAGCATTGCCCCTCTCGTTCGTCTTTGTCTAGGCAGGATTCTCCTTTACTCTGATTGGAATCGCAGCTGTTTCGACTCAGGTTGGAGGTGCGTGGACGCCAGCTCAGTGCCTGCCTCCCCTGGGTCAGCTTGAGCTCTTACTATCATTTCATTCCACAAGCAACATAACTCCTCTCAGTTTAAAAGGAAAAGAGGGAGAGACATGATTGAACACAGCAGTCCTCGGTGCTTGCTGAAATGCTAAATGAGGGGCCTATGTGTTTAAGAGCACTTTCTAGGGGAAACTCTGAAATTGCAAGCTGCAGCCCTTTCTCCGTGCTCTGTTTGGCTGATTTCCAAAGCATTGAGGCCAGCAATTGAAGGACTGAAATGTAATCGGTGGTGATACGTTTGTGCCACATGAAACATTCTCTGCCTCCAAAGGCGCCAGAGGCTGTGGGAAGCAGCACCTCAGCGACAGCTCCTGGCTGCTGGACTCTGCAGGGAGGGAAGGAAGATTGGTCGCAATGGTAAGAAACTCTGGAGTTTTCTACAGACCTAGTTTGTTACCTGGGAAAGCATACTTAGCCTCTGCTGGTGAAAATGGCTGTTGGTAGCATGAGACTGAACAGTCACTTGAGCTCTGAGGCACTGTCCATTTTTTACTAGAAGGACAGGAACACTCTTTTCACCAGAGCACCGAATTTTGAAAAATGATTCCTATCATGTCAGAGGTAATGGTGCCTTGTAATTAATAAGACCGTTTGCTGGGCTCTGCCAGGGAAGGAGAGTCCCACGGTGACCTCGGGTGTAAACCCTGATTAATGCAGTCTCTGAAGTGTGCTCTTTCCTTTCAAAGTAGTTGTAATTTCCATGAGATGCTTCAAAGAAATCGTTGTCTGTTTTCTCGATATGTTCATGTGGGGTACAGACCCATTCATTCCTAAGCAGCCTGCTTTGAATTGTCACCATTCTGTGAGCTTCACTGTTTACTGGAAGCATCAAGCATTACTACAGCAAACTTCCCCCTGATTTTTTTTCTTTCTTTTAAAACTATCATAGGCAGGCAGCAACCACAGAGACCCAAGTTTTCAAAGAAAGAACGATCTGACTTTGGAGGAAGTGTGTTTGATTCGGTCCTGTAAAGCAAACATTCCCAGGGTGAGGTGATCCTTACTGTAAACTTGAGTTCTTTGGATGAGGCTTTAGAATTCACCATGGAAGTAACAATGTGCTTATCTCCTGGTCTCTGCTCTCCGGGTGTCTTTTCCAAGTGCCGCCTCCCAATCACCCAGGATATGAGCGGGAAAACACGGGAGGGGGAGGAAGGACCCGTGTGCAACAATGGGGCCACTAAACATTTTCTCGAAAGAATGAATGGGTGAAGGATGTTGATAATAATAAGCCTACATAACATTGAGAAAAAAGTAAAGCCTATTACTGTTGAGAGAGAACGCCTGAAATACACGTATCTGACTGCACAGCTGATGTGGGGGAAATGATGTCTGTTTCTAATCCAGATGAATGAAGAGACTGGTGATAAAGGGAGGGTGGGAATTTTTGGAACTGAGTTTGCCTTTCCAACAAGTCAGAAAGGGGGAAATTGGAAACCGGATCTATGAGAATCATTCCTCTGATTCCCTGCCTTCACGCTCCATCCCTAGATCACCCGGAGGCACACAGACCAGAGAAACTGCTGCCAAGACAAAGCTCAGATTTTTCCCTCTTTAGCTGACATCTCGTGCCATTTATTATCTCATCCATTTTAACAGTCCGTCTTACCTGTTGAGGAGTCAAAATAAAGACTCCCTTGTTTCTCCTTAATCAGCAGGATGGGTTAAAAATAAATAAATTAAAAAGCCACATATCCAGCATGAGGATTAGATGGGACACTGAGTGCTTTGGAATGTTTTGCCTGAATGCTTGAGGCATAATCATTCTTTTTTTCCCTTCATTAGCCTGAGAACATTCCTTTAAGGATTATCAAGGACGAAGCTGGAATGCAGGTCCCTCTCTGGCCAGCACACTTTGAGCGTGGGCATTAACATACACATAGTGATATTCACCTACAGTGTTCAGGGCGAAGTGAGAAGCAGGTCAGGGGCTGAGATCACTGAAGTACAGTCATAGTATAAGCAGATGAAAGTATACAGACCTCCAAAGAGAGTGAACTTTCCTTTGGAGTTGCAGGAGGGCTCAGTGGGAACTAAGAGAATCACTCACTGCAAGCTGTTTACATCCAAGGCATCCTCTGGTCATTTTGATTAATTACTATTTAAAAGGTTGGAAAAAAGTACCCAATTTTACAATGACATAAAAGTTTTGGTCTAAGTGAGCTCTTCTTAATGACAGACACTAAAATGGCAACGATTTTACAGGGAAGGCATTCTGACCACCTGGCTTTTGCCAAGGCAACCATGTTTCACCTTTCATTTTAGTGAGAGCTCTGTAAGAGACCACTGATTGGAAGAGGAGTGAATCTATAGATTGGATTTTCATTAAATCCCTTCCATGATGAAAAGGAAACCAATCATGTTTCTCCTCATGCAAATGTGATCAGTTATTTTACTTACCCGAGATAAAAGACACTGTGTTTAAAACCCTCTCCTTGACCTCATTAGAATCAGGAGCATGTCAGAACTTGCTGGATGTTATACCAAACAAGCCAGCCCAGCTTTGGCTCTGACCTCTGATAACTTTTTAAGTTTTATTTATGAATTTAAAGGAAATGCAGATAATTAAATTTATACTACATAATTGCAGATGACTTTAAGATATTTCAAAGCAAGGAAAATGTGTGGAAGTTCTCAATAATATTTTACAAATATCAAGGACATAATGTGCTGTGTGCTAAGTGTTTTAAAAGCTTTAGTAATCCCCATTCTTGCTTTTAAATACATAATTTAAAATTGTTACCCCTGTTGCATTGAGGTAAGACACACGGAGTTCTATGCTCTCTGAAGGGCACACAGCTAGTGAGGGGTAGGGCCAGGGTGGGAATGAATGCAGGCTGGCTCTGGGGCCCTCACCCTGAAACCACGTCATCATACAGCCTTTCAAAGTGGAGAGGAAGACAGCCAGTTGTAGACGGGGGCCTGAGAGCAAGTTACAGAAACTTTCAGTGACCCAGTCTCAAAATTTCTACTCGTCTTTGACATTTCCCTCTTCCTGTTCTTCGTTCCCATTGTCACTTGTTTTAGTTTCTTTGTCATTTGCTCATGAACTCCTTATATTCCCACTCAGACCAATTTCCCTTAAACAGCTGTGTCTAACTGGGAGACAGTCTAATGTAAGGAAAGAGGATATAAATTTGCTCAGACAGGGAGTTAAATTTCTTTTTTCTTTTTCTTTATTTCTTTTTTTTTTTTTAAAGATAGGGTCTCACTCTGTCACCCAGGCTGGAGAGCAGTGGCACAATCTCAGCTCATTGCAACCTCCACCTCTGAGGTTCAAGTGATTCTCATGTCTCAGCCTCCTTAGTAGCCGGGACTACAGGCATGCGCCACCACACCCAGCTAATTTTTGTATTTTTTAGTAGAGACGAGGTTTCACCATGTTGATCAGATTGGCCTTGAACTCCTGGCCTCAAGTGATCTGCCTGCCTTAGCCTCCCAAAGTGCTGAGATTATAGGCGCGAGCCACCACACCCAGCATGCTTTTTCTTAATTTTAATTTTTATTGGTATAAATTTATGAGGTATAATTTTGTTATATGCATAGGTTGCGTAGTGGTGAAGTTAGGGAGGGAGTTAAATTTCTTTTTCTTTTTCTTTTTTTTTTTTTTTGAGACATAGTCTTGCTTATTCACCAAGGCTGGAGTGCAGTGGCATGATCTTAACTCACTGCAACCTCCACCTCCCAGGCTCAAGTTTCTTCAGCCTCAGCCTCCTGAGTATCTGGGACTACTGACATGTGGCACCACGCCCAGCTAATTTTTTGTATTTTTAGTAGAGACAGGGTTTTGATGTGTTAGCTAGGATGGTCTCGATCTCCTGACCTTGTGATCCACCCACCTCAGTCTCCCAAAGTGCTGGGATTACAGGCGTGAGCCACCACACCTAGCTGGGAGTTAAGTTTCTGTGTTACACTTTTATTAATTGTGTGATTTTTGTACAGTATTTTAAAAACCTTTTCAATTCTTAGCTTTCTTATCTGGAAAATGGGAATAATGATTCTTACCTCCATTGGGTCACTGTGAAGATTACGTTAATATGTTCGTGTAAAATAGAATGTTTAATTAGGAGATCATGACAAGAGAAAAATTAGAAGGAAGCTCTAAAAATTAGCTAGGTAATGATATGGATTTAAATTAGAATGGCAGAAAATGAAAGCAGGATGTGAGAGATGATGTGACAGAAAATTCACCTGCACTGGCCGCTGATTGGAGGTGAAATGTAAGAGGGAAAAGCAATGACCCTGGCATTTGAAGCAAGGAGGAAAAAAAAAAGTAAATAAGAACCCCCTCATTGTGATACTGTAATTCTTACATTACTTGGCATGCTACCTGTCTTAGTCAGTTCAGGATGCACTAACAAAATACATCAGACTGCGTAACATATGCACAACAGAAGTTTGCCAGGCACAGTGGCTCATGCCTGTAAGCTCAGCACTTTGGGGTGCTGAGGTAGGCGGATCACCCGAGGACAGGAGTTTGAGACCAGCCTGGCCAACATGGTGAAACCTCGTCTCCACTAAAAACACAAAAGTTAGCTGGGCTTGGTGGTGGGAATGTGCAATCCCATCTACTCAGGAGGCTGAGGCAGAGAATCACCTGAACCCAGGAGGCAGAGGTCGCAGTGAGCCGAGTAACCACTGCACTCCAGCCTGGGCAACAGAGCAAGACTCTGTCTCAAACAACAAACAAAATAAACAACAGAAATCAATTCCTGAGAGAGACAAGGAAATCCAAGATCAGGGTTCTAGCAGATTTGGTGTCTGGAGAGGGCCAGCTCTCTGCTTTATGGATGGTGGCTTCTTGCTGTGTCTTCACATGGTGGTAGGAGCTAGATAGATCTCTGGTGTCTCTCTTATAACGGCACTAATCCAATTAGCTAGGGCAGAGCATTCCAGATATCACCTTCCGGATGCCCCACCTTCTAGTACTATCACACTGGGGATTAGGGTTTGACAAATGAGTTTCGGAGGTGGGGGAAACAAATGTGCACACCATAGCAGTGCCTTTCACATAGTAGGTTTCATGTGGTGTTGAATGAATAAAGGCACGAGTTAAAAAAAAGTCTGAGAGCCTATATAATAACATAAATATATATAACACATAGCTGTCTATGATTTATATTATCTATTGGACTTTGAGTAACAGGCAATAGGTCTCATCTCCTTAATGTATATCACATGTCAATAATTGTATAAGAGATGAGTCCTATGGTCTGGGCCCAAAGTCCAATGAGGTGTTTAGAAGTGAGTGACAATGTAGTGTGTCCTAGAAGAAACACACACATATATATATATTAATATGCGTAAGTAGGCTTTTGATTATGTTCCTGAGGAGACCATGAATCCAGAGGATCAGA